CCACATGGTGTGGCAGACCTCTCTTGACCTGCCCGCTGCTCCCCTCAGCAGTGCACTTCCTCAGTCAGTCTATTCTGCTCCCTGCTCTGTCTCTGGTGAATCCTCTCACCACCCTGGCACCTCTGGCCTGAACCCCAGTTCTGTATGCACAAATAAATAAATCTTTAAATAAATAAAAATTAAGAAAAAAAAACAACATGTTTGTCCTACCTTGAACCATTGTTCCCCGTGTTCCCAGTGGAGGGGTAGATGCATGTGAGGTACTGAGCGCCACTAGTCCTGGCGAATGGAGTCAGCACCCCCTCGCTGCCCACAGGGGTCCTCGCCCTGTTTATCCGTTCCCTGTGCACTCCTCTCCCGCAGATTCCCCACAGTGGTCTGGGTGACCACAGAACCCCAGAGCGACAGGAGTTATGTCCCGAGGAGGTCACACGCTGGACGGCTGGATCTGACTGTGGGAGCGTGAGCCTCCCTGACCACCTGACCTGCAGGTCTCACCTGCCTGGTCACAGGGACCCTCGAGACAGTGAGGTGGTCTCAGGCCTGGGTCTGCCCTACCCCGTGTGGAACCGAGGGAGTTGCTGAGGTCGCTGGAAGTAGCTGCTCAGCCCCTGCTCGTCGTGATGGCGCCCCAGGAGATGGCTGATGACACCCCGGTGCCTAACCATCCCGAGCGTCTGCTCGACGCTAATGTTCACCTATTCTCCATTCTGAACTTTCCAGGCAGTAGTCTTGAGGCACCTGGATATGACAAATGGAGCAAGAAAACCTAACAGACTTAGAAACGCATTTCACATGCAGATAAGAAAACTTGGTACTAAGTAATCTGCTTCTGTAACTTACTAGGTGATCCATGGTGGGTGGCCAGAAACTGGCATTTCATACTGAAAACAAAAATGAAACAGGTCTGCACTTCAACTTTTCATAATTAAGTTCCAGATGGATTCTTGCCTTGTGTGAAATTCAGACTCTGACGTGTTTGAAGAAGTGCTTCTGCCATGACACTGAGCTCAGAATTGACATTAAAAAAGGGAGGATCCATGAAACAAGAGGCTGATAGAATTGACTACATCCAAATGGAAGACCAATCTTCTGCGCGAGGCCACAGAACCACCTTTCGGGTAACGGATGCTCCTCTCTGGCGCTCCCTGCCCTCTGCACAGAGTCCTCAGCCCTGCAGCTGCAGAGGCGGCTTCACAGACACCCTCACTCCGGTTGTGCACTCAGGGTGCTCCTGCTGTACCCCAGGCCAGCCCGCAGCTTCGGCTTCGGGCAGGTCCCTGTCACCTCACCCTCCTGTCACCTCGCATAGGGGGCCAACTCCGAGATTGGCGTCTGCGCTGTAGATGAGTGAGTGTGTCACCTCTGTCGTGCTCAGAGGGGCAGGTGAGGGTCACAGGTGTGCTGCCCTCGGGCTCGCCTCGAGGGAGTGCTCCGTCCTTACTCAGTGTGCTGGTGTAGCGGAGCCTAAATTTTGAGGCAGGATCTGCAAGTGTGTCTCTCTAACTCCAAATCTATAATCTTTATATGAGCTCTCTGGAATAGGCACCAAGGACCTAGAGAGTGATCATCCGGGGTGTGTTCTCCTTTCCCTACAGTCTGGCCCTTTCTTTTCTGTCTACCGTTGCTGATGACCATGTTGTCAGGAACTGGGCGTTCTCGCCAGAAGCTCACTGACATGTGCATTCATATATATTGGAAAGCATACATAGCAAAGCACGTTGTAAAAGAAAACACACAGCCCTCCCTGGGGTGCCATGGGTTAAAGCCTAGCACTATGAGGCCGACCCACATGGCGTGGCAGTCCTCTCCTGACCCGCCCGCTGCTCCCCTCAGCAGTGGACTTCATTGGCCTGCCTGTTCTGCTCCCCGCTCCGTCTCTGGTGAATCCTCTCACCCCCTCACTGCTGGCCTGTCCCCAGTTCTTATATGCATAAATAAGTCAATCCTTAACAAAACCAAACAAAACACATATGCAAACCGCCTGAAGTGGGCGGGAACAAATCAGCACAATGCAAACAGCTCCCAGCCGCCAGGGAGACCACATGGCCCATGCTGATGTCGATGTAGCACGCTCCCTCGCTGCTTCCTTGTTGAAAGGCCACACAGAAAACGGTTTAGTCATAGTTCTCCAGTCAAGGTAAACAGATGTCTTCCTTTTGGAAGGAGAGAAGACACAAGATCCTGGTCTGAAATCTGACCTTGAACAGATCCCCGCGCTGGTTCCTCTGGCTGGCGGGTTCCCGGCGTCCTCTGAGAGGGAGACATTCGCCACATGGACCCCAGGCCCTTCCTCCTCCACGCGGGTCCTCTGACCCTCTGGCCACTCATTTGTTCTCTGGGGGACCCCATTTTCATGGACCCAGAATTGCAGAGAAGGACCCGACCGGACATACAGCAAAAGCTGGAGTCAAGGGAAGCCTCAGAGGGAGAGAGCTGAGCTCTGGCTGTCTGGACGCAGGCCAAGGGGACCCCAGGTTTCCTCCCTTCCCAGCCCCTCCTTGCCCACCTCTGCAAGTGCTGCTCCCCTCCCACTCCACTCCCAGGGCCACGCCTGCATCTGGTCGGGCTCTTGGGGCTTCAGGCCTTGGGGCACTTCA